GCAGCTTCCCCTTCTCCTGGGGCCCCCCCCAGCACCCTGAGAGTGCACAGCACACTCTGATATTATCAGCCTCATCTTTTGTGTTTAGTTTTGTTTTTAACAAAATTGCCTCCTCTCTCCTTCTCTGAGATAACTGAGCCTTTCGAGTCTTGAGAATAAAAATCTCCCACGTCTCTTGCCCCTGCCCGCCTCATGTCTGGTCTTCCCATGAGAGGATTCATCAGACCAGCCTGTCCCCTTCCCTGAGACCCCCATCCTCTTCCTTCAGTCCCACCCCCTTCCTCGGAGGTTCAGGAGTGGCCTGAGCCCCCAGGCCCTGAAGGAAGCAGGGGATGAGGCCCAAGGACAGCCATTGTTTCTGTGACAGTGTGACAGTGCGACTGTATCATTGTTTGTGATACAGTCACAGTCCCCAAAGCCTGGGTATGGGACCCTGCAGTGCCATGTGATTCTCTCCCCCACCCCCTCCACCCCAATGCCAGATACAAGCGTTCAAACTTCTCCTTATTTTGTTAACGTTAAGAATTGCTTGTTTTCCTTCTTTTCCCTTCTACTCCTGTGCCTCGGGGTCGTCGTCCTTCTTTTTTGCATGTCGGCGTCCGTCCCCTTCTCTTGCATGTGGGCCAGAAAAACCCGGGTCCTGCTGTATCCTGGTTATAATCTGATCATCTCATTTATCCACCTGTTTAACGAGTAGAGGCTTATGGGGCATCTGTGGCATGCGGAGCCCAGTGCAGGACAGTCCTGTACCTAGGATGGAACAGCAGCTAACACCATGCTTCTCATTTAATCCTGGTGGAACTGGAGGCTAAGCGGCCTTCCCGGAGCTGGGCGGAGGGGAGCAGAGAGGTCTCTAGACAGACACAGCAGGAGGCAGAGCGGAGGCTGGCATCTCTGCTCTTTCTGGGCGTGTGCTGACACCACCACCACTACCTGCCCCCCTGAGGTTTCTTCCCCCCTCTCTCCCCACCCCGAGTCAGACCAGAGAGGGTGCAGAGTGTCTGAACGTGGGTCGCAGCCTCCACCCCTCCCCTCTCCATCTCCGCTGCCTGTGAACAGCGGGTGCGCGTCTGAGCTGCGATCCCGTCGTTCTCGAAGTCAGACTCATTCATCCGGATCTCTTGTCTTTGGAGCCCATTCCGTGTCAGGCTTTGTGCTGACAGCAGAGCCAGACGTGGTCCCGCCCTCGCGGCGCCTGCAGTCGCGGGGGAGAAACGGGCACCAATCACAGACTCGCACCGGTCAGTGTAAACGAGCCCGAAAGCAGGGGCCTGGTGTTTTGAGAGAGCAAAGCAGGCAGGTCTGGAAAGGCGGGAGGGGCCCCCGCCGCAGGCGCAGGCAGCTCCTCCTGCGGGCCAGAAAGGGCCAGAAAAACCCGGGTCCTCTGCCCCACCCCTAAAGGGGGTGTGGTGGTCATGCCCCCTCTGCCCGCCTTCCCCGCCTTCCCCGCCTTCCCGGGCCTCTGTCCTTGTGCCCTGATAGTCAGACCTCGAAAACCATCTGTGGGGGCAGCATGACAAAGTGACCACCAGCAAGGAGTTGCAGTCAGAGACTCCACCACTTCTAGCCCTGTGGCTCTCTCAGCCATTCTGAGCCTCACCCTACTCTCCTGTCAATCCATGTGAGTAGCTGCTCGTAGGCTCACCCGCCAGGCACTGACTAGCCCATTGCTTGGCGCTTGGGAGGCCCTGGGCCACTTGTGTTAACATTAAGATAGAATGGGGAACAGCAAGCAAATCTGTTTGAGCCCCTGTGCCCTTTCCCCAGCCTAATGCCCACCCGCTCTGTTTGTCTTCCTTTAGGAGAACTCCGACACCTTCCTCTTGGCTGTGGACACAGACTGGAAGGTAGGTCTCAGCTCAGCCTCCTGAGCTGGCCAGCCCTTCGCCCACCCAGCCTGGTCTCAAAGGAAGGTCACAGCTCTTCCGTGTGCCTCAGCCTGGAGCGGCAGGGGCTTGGCACTTTCCAGCTCCAGGATCTCCCTCCCTGCTCACAGTGGCTCTGCCTGCCTGCCCCCTGTCCAGTGGGGAAATGCATTCTCGCTCCCTGAACAGGAATGGGGGAAGGAAGGCCTGGGGGGAGTAAGGAGGGAAGTGGGAGGAGGGATGCTGTCATGTGAATCAGCATTTTCCTCCAATGAAAGCCACGCTGATGCTCTGAAATAGCTCCTGTTTCCATGGCAGCTGTTGCTGGGACAACCGTGTCCTCTTTTAGCTTGATGCCAGATTCCTGTGAAAACTAAAACTGTTCTTTGTTTTTATTACTCTGCACGATGATTGCACTCACTTGGCCAGACATTTCTGCCCTCTGAGTCCCATGTGGCCATTTATTTCTGGGTCTCAGAAAACGTCTGGCAGCAGACATAAGGAGAACCTTGCCTTTTGGGGACCCTACTAGCCATCCAAACATTCCGAACAAATTCAGACCTTTCTAGGACCTTCCTCTTGGCTAGATGGAACCAGCCTCAAGCCACTGCCCCGGTCTTGCCTGACTTCGATTTGGGTCAGTCTCCAAGCCCCTCAACAGCCCCAGCCTTGTGTCCTGGACACAAAGGTGATTCGGGAGGCGGGGTGACCTGCGGGCTCCTCCCCTGACCACACAGCTCTGCAGCGAGGATCCCGATCCGGGCCTGTGAGCCGGCCCCTGGGTCAGGAGCCCCTTCAAGGACGCAAGTAGAGGCATCAAAACAGCCAGTGTGCTCATGCTCCGGTCCCCCGCGAGTTTGTGCTCCAACTATAAAAAACTCTGGAGCTAGGAAGGACAGGATGAGACCTGGGGAGTAGGAAACAAACAGGCGCCCAGGCAGAGAGATGGGAGGCCTGTGGCCATCTCAGCCACCTCAGGGAGATCAGGGCGGGCACGCCAGGGGGTCCTCTTTGTCTTCCCTGCTCAGACTGAGGGCGAGGACGTGTAGAGGAACAGGCCCTCCTCCCCAGGAGGGCACTGGTGAAATAACCCCCCAGAGCAGCCAGCTGCTGCCTGACACCAAAACACACACACCCTGGGGTGGGGGGCGGGGGAGAGGACTCTACCAAAGGGGAGAGGGAAAACATGGGGTCCTTCGTACCCCATGGTGGCCACTCCATGTGTGCGGGACCCCGGCTCTTAAGAGCCCTCACTTGGCAAAGGGCAGCGTGTGTCAAAAGGCAACTTATCTATTATGGTTACACCACGTGGAGGCTGCCTTTTTAAAAAAAAAAAAGAAAAAGAAAAAAAATCAGCTGCAAGGATGGCCATTATCTGGGTCCAGGCCTAGCATGGATTTTATCCCGTTTTATCCCTTGCCTCAGTGGGCCCGGCCAGTGGGAGATGCAGAAGTACAAACACAAGAGCCAGACGGACCTCGGTCCAGGTGCTGGCCCTGCCCTTTATGGGCCACATGACCTCCGGCACATGTCATTGCTTCATTTGCACAGGGAGACAGGCACCTTGGACCTTCTCAGGTTTCCGTAGGGTTGGGGATGGTGCTTGCAGGCCGGGCACTCAGATCCTCGGCTGACCGTGACTAGTGATCACTAAAGCATGGAGTCGGAGCCAGCCTCCCTGGGTGTGGTTCCTGGCTCTGTGCTCACCGTCTGTGTGATGTTGAGAATATTCCTGAACCCTTCTGTGCCTCCTTTTCTTCATCTATGAAGTGGGTGTTAAGAAGATAAAATGAGGTAACATGTGTAAAGCACATGGGAGATCCTCTAACTGTTAGAGCATTTGCTACTCTTAATGTGAACTCAGGCTCCAAGTGCTGAGGTGCTTGTAAGCGCCACTGCTTACGAGCTGAGTGGGAAAATGAACCTCTCTGCGCTTCAGTTTCCTAATCCTTTCTCACAGGTTCGTGAGCATTAAGTGTTATCCTTGCAGCGACCTACGCAATAGGCACACTGCTGTTTTCCCATTTACAGATGCGGAGGCTCAGAGAGGCTGACTGGCTTGCCCAAGGTCACACAGCTCTGACTGGTGCATGGATTTGGCTAGCAGGACCTGAACCTGCCTTGTTCAGCCATAGCCACGGCACAGCCTCCAGGGGAAGGGCTGAGTTTGGAGAAGCACAGGATCGATTGATTGTCTTTCCTGCCAGACGTGGGCGGGGCCTGGGCAGGCATGGGCTCAGGTCTGGAGTGATATATGCAGGGTTTTGTCATCCTGATAGCAACTCTGTAAGGAAAGCACAATTCCTGTTTCACAGTTGAGGAGACTGAGGCACAGAGGTGTCTGAGGTCAGCTTCTCACCTGCGTCCAAGGGTGGGAGAGGCCTCTCAGAGTAGGCTTGGAGTAGGCATAAGAGTGGATGGGGACCATAGAGGAGCAGGGATTTGGTGGCAACAAAGGTGGAAGGCCACCTCTCCCCGACTTCGAGAAGCACATTTGTAGACAGGTCAGGGGGCAGGGCTGTGCCTTTGCAGCCTGCCTCAGTGGCCAGAGCCTCTTCCTGTGCCTAAGTGGCTTCAGGGAACAGGAAGCATGGGCAAGATGTGAGGGGCCTGAGGGACAGCCCATTCCATGTCCTCGCTGCCCTGGGCAAGCACAGGGCCCAGCACTCTGCACCAGGCCTGCAGAACAAGGGGTCCAAGATGGGGCAGGGTAAGTAGTTGGTGCTTCCCAGGCAGAGGATATGGCCGTGAATACTGTACATGGCAAGTGCTGACCAGGTCACTAAGCACCCAGGGACACAGAAGTGACCACCTTCCCCCAGGGCAGCCAGCTAGTGTGCAGGGCTGTCGGTGCAGGCCGGGGAGAATGGCACGGTCCTTCACCAAAGAGACAGAGTACGGGCATGGGTGCCCAGCAGCCCTCCCTTCTGTCAATCCTGCCTCTCTCAGTCCTTGGGCTCCCTCCTCTGCACCCTCCCTGGCCTATTTCCTCTCCTCCTTCTTCTGCTCTCCTTTGCTCACCCTCCCACCCCCCTGTCCCTAGCCAGCTTGCTACCCAAAGCCTTGCTGCTCAGGAGGACAGCGGAGAGCCTGAGGTGGCTCATGTGTCCTGCCCTCCAGAGATCCAAGAGCCAAGCACCAGGCTGGTTGGTTGGTCGCAGGAAGAGGGCTGGGTGGGTCTGCTGGAGGTCGGCATGTCCACTTCAGGAGGCCGCTTCCTGTCCCTTTCCCACTCCCTGGTGGCCTCCAGCCATGGCTACAGAATAGGAGGGGGGAGGGCAGACCTGGTGCGTGCCCCACCATACTCCTGGTCCTGCAGTCTACCCAGGCCTCCTGGCTCCTGAAGCCCACTTTTAGCAGTGGGGGCTGCCCTAGGGGAGACCCTGGGGAGGGGTGATATAGAGAAGGAACAGTCAACCCCCTGGAGCAGGGTAATGACCCAAGTTGCCCCAAGAAGTAGTGATACCCTACCTCTCAAGGGTAAGTGATACAGGGTATGCGCCAAGGGCTGTGACGTCTAAGACATACCTGTGTGGCCTGCCGTGCCCTGCATTGGTGTGGGTGTCTGCGAGAGGCTCTTGTGTACAGGGCACGCCTGTGCACGTGGCCAAGTCCCCCCTGTTCCCAGGCCCCTGTATATGGCTGCAGCTGTCGGTGTGTGCCTGTGTGCTGGGGCAGGTAGGATGCAGGGGCTGGGGCCCATCAAAGATGATGTGTTGCTGGGGGGTTGGGGGACTGGGAGGAGCAAGAGCGGGGTGAGCGAAGACCTCCCAAGCCAATTGGAGCCAGGTTTGTCTCCCCACAGCCAATCTGGGAGCTGGGGCTCCAGGCGAACCAGTGGCTGCTCAGAAACCCTGCAGAGAGGAGGGGCCAGCCTAGGACTGGCAGCCTCCGCATATAAATGGCCCTGGAGCAGGTGCCCCATCTCAGAGCCGCTGGTCACCCGCTGGAGCTGCCCCCTCCCCCTGGACCCCAGTGACTCAGGCCTCTGTTTGCCCTTCCTCGTCGGAGCGGGTTGCCTCCCCCGGCAGAATGCCCGAGTGCTGGGATGGGGTGAGTGAGGGCTGTGGGGGCGGCGAGGCCGTTGGGGAGGAAGAGGTGTCCCTCTGTGCTCAGTGGCAGATCTGCCTTCAGTGGCCTCACCTACGGGGAATTGAGGCAAAGCCAGCAGCTTCTAGCCCCCTGGTGACTCAGGCCTGCAGCAGTGATTGGAGGTTACCTGCCATTCAGGACCTGTGGGGGAGGGCTAAGATTTGTGGAAAAGGAACTGGGCTGTGACTTGACTGTCAGCCTGTGCGGACCTATCTGCCAGCGTGTGTGTACATCCCACTGACATGTACCCTTTCCCTGGCACGTACCAGGCTGGTGGCTGCCTTGCGCCTGTGATCACTTCAGCCCTGGAGGAGGCTGTGCCCCCTGCATGTCTGGCTGTCTGTGCAGGTTTCAGCCCTCCTGACCTTGCGGGGCTGTTTGTGCGGGCGGCTGCACCGAAATGCGAACAGGACACACAGCCTCTTCCTTCCTGAGGAGGTGCTTGCAGCCCCTGCGCGGTCCGCAGGGCACTGCGAGCAGCTCTGGGGCGCGGTGTCGACCAGGCCTTCCGGCGGGATTTCTGCGGGGGAGAGACACGGAGGGGTCGCGGCACCTTGTTTTGTGGATGGGGGAAGGCAAGCTGGAGCCTTGAGGCTGCAGGGCTGGAGGTCCCAGGTGGGCCCAGGCGCCTCCTACACCGCGGGCAGCAGTGCCCAGGGGCGCTGTTCTTCCTCGATAAGGAAGAGGCAGGGACACACCTACTGCCTCACCCCCCACCCCGGCCTGCCCTGCCGGGTCTGCAGACAGACCATGGCGTTGCCCGCACCCAGGCTACGACATCCGTGTCTCCCTGCGGTGCGGCCCTGGTCCGCGGCATGATTGATACCGGCGACGGAGAGGATCACACTAGCTCTCCCACCCCACCCCCGCGCGCGAGCTGAAACCCAGCTTCGAGGGCCGCGCAGCCCTCAAGGTCACCGGCGAGGGTAGACGCTCCCGCCAAGGGGGTACTGGCTGCCGCAGTGCTTTCTGCCTGCGCCCAACTGGGGATGGGGGCCGGGCTCTGACGTAACCGGGAGCCAATGGGAGCGCTCAGGCCTGGGTGGGGGGGCTCCTTCTCGTGTGCAGCTCCCTGAGAGATGAGGATGCTCGGCCTCTATCAAGCTGAGCGGGGTCGAGCTCCTGGGTCGGCGGGAGGGATCGGCCAAGGTCACTGGGCTGCGCGGGAGGGGCAACCGGACTGATGCTGCCAGACAGCCCTTCCCGTCCCGGGGAGCCTAGCCTTAGCGGCAAGCCGCCCAGGGGATGGCGACGGCATAGTCGCCCCAGGGCTGAGTAGGGGCCAGACACCCCCTCATATGCACCCGTGGGCGATCTGGATGAGTAAGACTGCTACCCTGGACAGTGACTTGCGCATGGAAGAGCGAGAGGTGAGCCCGTGCAGCCGGGGAACGGCCTTGATGCCGCAGGAAGCGCATTGCAGCTCTTGAGCAGTGGGCGCCCCTCCCCAGCCCCGCCCTCCATAGCACTGTGCACCCCTCCTGCCCCATCCTGCCCTCCAGGGCCTAGAGAATGTGGGAGTTTGGGGGTGCAGCATGGCCCCGTAGCAGCAGACAGGGGGCTGTAGAGAGACTGTCTGCATGGAAGTCTCGGGTGGAGCTCCGTGTCCTCATAAAAGGCAGCCTTCAGTGCATACCCCTGAGGCCTGCACCTGGCAAGACTTGTGCTGCCCTCTCTGGACTTGACCTTGGGCAAGTCATTTCTTCTTTTCCAGCCTTAGTTCGTTCCTCTGTAGCTTGGGTACCTGTGAGGAATAAATGAGAAGACGCATGAGGTGTTCAGTCGATGGTCAGTAGGCAGGAAGTGTTCCTTGTGTTGATGGCCCTGAAGGAGGATAGGCCTGGGATGTGCGGAAGCTGTGGTGGGCCTGGGCTAGACACCTGGCAGACACTTGGCTGTTTCCTTCTTGTCCTTGACCCTAACCCCACCTCCAACTCGCTGGGCCAACTCCCAGGGCTCCTTTGGTACAGGGCAGGGTTTTTGCTTCAGCTCTGACAGGCCCTCATTGAGTTTTCCCATTGAGTGGCTAGGAGTGACCTGTTTGCAGAGGGACCAGCCAGCAGGACCCTTCCCCAGGCTCAGAGGTACCCCAGCACAACAGCCCCCTTTCTGGAGCCCTCTCCAAGTGCTAAACACTCTGCAGACATCAGCTTCTTTAACTCTTACAGAGTCCCTCTTAGATGGCTCAGGAAGAGGTGGCTGAGGCACAGAGAAGTGGTGTGTCCCGCTCAGAATCACTCAGTAAGGGGCAGAGTGGGTCGTGAACTCCCAGCATCCCAGAGTGACCACTGCAGAAGGATTTGGTATGGGGGCCCGGGTATCAAACCAGGCCCTGCCTGAGGCCTTGGGGATCACAGGGAGTGGCATTCAAGGTGGACGGAATGGCAGGAGCAAGAGTGTGGAGTTAGCACCAGGCATGGGGGTTGGGCTTGGTCGGCATGGGAGTGGTTACAGAGGATTCTAGGTGCGGGCTTTTGTGGTGAGATATTAGCCTCCAGGAGCAGCAGCCCTTGAAGGATTCCGAGTGGGGGAGGAACACGGTGAGGGCAGGACTCGCTGGAGGGGCCGCAACGACATGGGGAAAACAGGCCTCACTGGACCCCAAGGGGCTGAGAACTGATCTGCAGACCGGTTCATGTGCCTGTGCCGGCCACTCCTGGGTAGGGGTGCTCCATCTGTTACATCTTCTCTTTGGGCTCTTTGGGGTGATGAGAACAGGATGTCCCACCCCTTGTGAGGCATGGAGGCTGCGCACAGGCCCAATGGCTCCACAGGCTGCCCCACAGCCTCTTTCTCCAGGAGAGCCAGGAGGGTGCACTGCCTAGAGTGTCCAGCACTGTCTCTCCCCCTAGGAACACGACATCGAGACGCCCTATGGCCTTCTGCACGTGGTGATCCGGGGCTCCCCCAAGGGGAACCGCCCGGCCATCCTCACCTACCATGACGTGGGTCTCAACCGTAAGTGCCCCCAGCCTCGTCTGGCTTTCTCCCACTTTGAATCTGCCAGAGCGGTGAGGCCTACCCCCCACCCCCGCCCCGCACACAGGGCCGCAAAGATTCCCAGCCACACTTGGCTCTGTGTCCTTCGCCATTTGGGCCTTGGTTTCCCCACTGGACCATGAGGCTCATCACCCTTGCTTGGCCCTCCCTCTCAGAGCCACAGGCCTCCGCACCCCTCTGCTCAGCCACAGCTGAGAGGTGTGTCTTTGCAGACAAGCTCTGCTTCAACACCTTCTTCAACTTCGAGGACATGCAGGAGATCACGAAGCACTTCGTGGTGTGCCATGTGGACGCCCCCGGTCAGCAGGTGGGGGCGTCGCAGTTTCCTCAGGGGTAGGTGCCGGCAGCCCCCTCACACTTTCTCCAGCCCTGTGTCCCAGGCCGCACCTGGGCCTGACCCCCCCATTCTGCCTGCAGGTACCAGTTCCCCTCCCTGGAGCAGCTGGCTGCCATGCTCCCCAGCGTAGTGCAGCACTTCGGGTGAGTCCCTGCCCAGCCCCTGCCCTTGTGCTGGGGGCTTGGGGTTCCCACCACCACCACCCCAGAGCCTCTAGGCTCCAACTGAGGGCTGTGGGTGAGGTC